ATAGTATGAAGGGGAAAAAAAGGCAAATAATCTGATTATTCAATATTAACTTTGACTGTAACACCTAAAACACAAAGGTATGTTAATTGATGGAACTGATGGACTTAACAGCAAAAAATAAAAATCTTCACATATATTCTCCAATAGAATTTAAGTTGTAATGAAGGTGATATTTCAAACCTTTGAGCACTCTCACAATTTAAAAAATGCACAGTAAAATAAATACTACTTTCTGCCAATTAAACTAGCAGGATAAAACAAATATTTAGCAGAATGTGGGAAAAGATATTCTCATAAACTAGCAATAAGAATATTAAGTGGTACAACCTCATTGCAGTTTTATTATATCAGAAGTTAAAGGGCACATATCCTTGACCCAGCAATCTACTGCTACAAAATATCCTGACACTCTCACACACTCCCATTGATATAATCAAAAATATTTATTGCAGCAATACTTATATACAGGCAAAAAATCCTGAGATTTACCAAAATATTAATAAGGTAACAGTTATAATAAATGTGGTACATATACGGAAAAATGTCCAAAATATATTGATAAGCAGAAAGAGAATGATGTAGAATACATACCAGCTATTTTTGGTAACTTATGGGGAGTACAGTGCTGGGTGGGAGGTAAGAGTTTTACTTTTTACTTTAAACACTGCTGTACTATTTGCTCATAAAGTCACATGTGACTTTTATAAAAAATTTACATTTTGAAAATACTAAATGTGGCTGGGTGCAGTGGCTAACGCCTATCATCCCAGCACTTTGGGAGGCTGAGGCCGGTGGATCGCCTGAGGTCAGGAGTTAGAGACCAGCGTGGTCAACACAGTGAAACCCCATCTCTACTAAAAATACTGAAATTAGCCAGGTGTGGTGACATGCACCTGTAGTCCCAGCTACTCAGGAGGCTGAGGCAGGAGAATCGCATGAACTCAGGAGGCAAGGCTGCAGGGAGCTGAAATTGCGCCATTGTACTCCAGCCTGGGCGACAAGAGCAAAACTTTGTCTTAAAAAAAAAAAAAAAAAAGTGAAATACTAAATACTGTTACTTGGCAATACAGCTGGAAAGGGTCAATGTATGTTGTATAATCTCATCTAGAATGAAGAACAAAGAACTGTATTAATTTAAAAGTTTTCTTTTTCATGCTACAACAAAGGGCAGCACATCTACAGTGCTACTAAAGAAACTGAAGTAAAGAGAAGTTAAGTTAGAAACTAGATAAATTAATTTAAGACAAATATCCATAAAGAATTTCAAATTCTTGGATTCGGGGATTCTGCAGTCTTAGCAGCAGCTGCCTATGTTAAATACTGAAGCACAAAATGAAGAGGAAGACTCTGCAACTGAGGTACAGCTAGCAGCCTCTGAGAAGAAAAATTAGTCTAAAATATTTGTGGAGACATGTAAGTTAGGCAATCTCAAGGTTAAATTTCTCTGGCTGCTCAACCCTAACCAACAATAGGACTAAACACAGTTCACATCCAGGATTAAAAAGAAAAAAAAAAAAAAAAAAAGAACCAAGGTCTATATACGGTAAGAATCTATGTCTAAGAAAATCCTTGTGGGAAGACAGAAGGAACAGCATGAGAAAAGGTCAATGTCCAACTATGTGTTCAAGCATTATGGCAGAAGCTACAGAAAGGAAAGGCAACAAATTGATCCCAGTGGGGAAGAACCTTTTCTTGCTTTGGACTTGCTAGAGGGCAATCAAGCTTCAGGCATAAAAATCTACAGATGATTACTATAGTCAACCAACTAGCCAAATTTCAAACACAGGAAAAAAAACAAAAAAAAAACAAAAAAAACCCACTAGTCAAAATGCTTTAAAATTTAAGAAGTGTGTTATTTCTTAAGAAAGTATATTGTTTAGGCTGGGTGCAGTGGCTCACACCTGTAATCCCAGAACATTGGGAGACCAAGGAGGGTGGATCACCTGAGGTCAGGAGTTTGAGACTAGCCTGACGAACATGGTGAAATCCCATCTCTACTTAAAAACACAAATTTAGCTGGGTGTGGTATCACATGCCTGTAATCCCAGCTACTTGGGAAGCTGAGGCAGAAGAATTGCTTGAACCCAGGAGGCAGAGGTTGCAGTGAGCTGAGATTACACCACTCCATTCCCACCTGGGCAACAACAGCGAAACTCCGTCTCAAAAACAAAACAAAAAAAGCATATTGTTCATATATGTTATATTACATATCTACAATAAAAAAAATTTAAATACCTTTCAACAAATAGCAGGCTTCCTCAGTTGTGGGAATCGAAAATGTTACCACAGTTCCAGGCTATGATTCTACAATTTCTTCCTCCATCCTAACAGTTTTTTACCTTCAGAGAAATGAGGAAAAGTTTTCTTCACTTCTCACATGTGTGACTAGTGTTCCCAATCTTCTACTTGTATTAGTCTAACCTTTCAAAATCTTTAAAGAAATAACTAGTACAAACTCACAAAGAAAACACTCTTCATAGCAAACACTTCAAATTTCTGCAACATGGATTAATACCTCCACTTGGAAATACTAATCAAAATCAACAATGACAGTCTTACTTTAGGTCTGAACTAAGAATATTTTACTAGCCATTGAAAGAAGACTTGGGAAATAATTTATTTCCCTTTCTAAAATGTCTATAATGCTGTCTCTGGATTGTCCTCAGTGGCTCCTTCCTATGGCCCAACAGCAACTGAAGTGCCAATGCCCCCATCCCATTCCAGCTAGCATTCTGAATCTCTATTTGCCTGGGAGAAAAGAACACTTTTCATTGATCTATGTTTAACAAAACATTTACCGAATGCACGCAGTATTCCCAGCACTGTGCTACTAAGATAAATAAGACATGGATGGTATCTACCTTCAAACTCATAGTCCAATAAAGAAGACAAACTATGTCCAGGCCTGGCTTAAAGGATCAGACAGATGCTTCAGATAGGCTATTTCAGAAGATCAGCTGACAACTAGCAGAGAGGGCTCTGGCAATTGGGGAGGCACGGGGTTGAGGGAAAGTGACAACAAGCACCTAGGACTAGAACTAGGAATATGAAACATCATACTTAGTTTATTCATATAATCCTCAGCATTCTGGCATAGCTACAGTGAGATAACTGCATGCCGTGTTATAGGGTTTACTACATTTTATTTCGAAAGTGATGGGGGACAATTAAAGAGATAGGTAGAAGAAGGAAAAGAGTATAGAAAAGTTAGCAAGTAGGAACAGAAATATGGAGAATCCAATAAACCAAATCACAGAGAAAACATAAATATTTTGTAGTGTGTTCATATAATGGAATATTACTAAAAATAAAACAGCAATAAAAAATAATGAACTGCTGATATAGTCACAACATAGATGAAGCTCAAGAACATTATGTTGAATGAAAAAGCCAGATACAAGAGTACATACTATATATAAAATCCAAGAACAGGCAAAACTAAATTATGCTGACAGAATTCAGAAAGATCATTACTTCAGGGGAAAAAAGCTATTGGATTGGAAGCAGGGAAAGCACAAGGAACTTTCTAAAGTAATGAAATGTTCTATATCTTGATCTAGATGGCGGTTACATGTATGAATGTGTATGCAAAAAGTCATTCAGCTCTACACCTCAAATTTTATGTTACTATATATATGTAAACTATACCATAATAAAAAAGAAAAAAATACATATATAAGCATGGTGGAAAATAAGGTCCGAATAAGTTAAACCAGTGTCATCCCACAAGCAATACCAAACACAGAAAATCAGAACAAAAGTTCTAACAGACACTGTATATTCAACTAGAAAACAAATCCCTAATAAGACCTTCAAGTACAAAAGTCTGGCTTCTTCTCCACTGTAAGAGGATATATAGGCAAGTGTTATTTCTAATAAATGCTACAAAAGTAAATTATTCTTCCTAAAGAAAAACAGTCCACTATAAAGCAAAAAATAAAATTTTTCTACACAATAGGAGGTACTATAATGATCAATAAGGTATGACAAGCACTTAATAGAATTTAGAGCACAATAAGTACTCTTCAAACTACCACTACTATTATTATTATATAATAGCAATAAAAGAAAAATTTTGCTTCAAAACATGCCCAAACCACTGACTGAGATTTCTTTCAGTGCATATTACTGAACTACAGCACTTTTCATCCTAGACTTCTTTTTTTTTTTTCTTTAACAAACACTGAGATCAGCAAATTTTTGACAGCTGAAACATCTGGTTAGAGGGAAAACCAAGTTAACTCCAATTTTTTCAGTGTTCGTTTTCCTCTGTTTCCGTTTTGAAGCCATATTCACTTACCAATAAACAGTAAATGTATCTTTTTAAAACACGTCAACAGCTTATATTATTTAAAAGCATTCTTTCACATACCAGACCAAAAGTACATGATGCCAATTCAACTTTTTGAAAGTGAACAGCCTTAGAAAGCTAATCAGAATGCTGTATTAGAGAGGTCACTCAGTAGAGACACCCACTAGGAAAACATTAAAACAATAATTTACAATTTTGAATACTATATTAACAGAAAGAAATCACAATTTGGCAAATGTCCCATTTGGTAAAGTGTTTCCTTAACAGTAATAATGAAGCAAAATTCACAAAAGCAATGACTATTCATATACTTTATCAACAAAGGAGAAAACAATGAAGTGGCACAATAAATGTCTTACTGAAGTGGTGAGAGTTCAACTTGAAGAGTGGCTGAACCAAACACTAACTTGATTTTCTAACATGTTAGAATATTCACTGGAAACCTGAATGCTTTAGTTAACCTCAACACAAAAGAAGGAAACTAAAAATTTAGTTCCACAATTTGATAGCTGTAATTTTACTCCCATCAAATCAAGTGGACCAAGTGTGTCAAAAAGACAGTTATTTGCATTTCAAAATTTTATTTAAAAACTCTTTGGTTCTGAACTCAACACCACATTTTTAAGACATTTTTTTTGTATTATTCCTATCTCGATATGTACATTTAACAAAGCAGTCTTGTACTTACCTAGATTTTGTCTTATTAACATCTTGCTGCAAGAACAATCTCATCCAAAATTAAATCAAACCTGAAAGAATACATACAAAGACCAAGGTTTAATTTTTTGTGTTAAACATGAATAACTACAGCTACAATACACTACGATTTTAAATGAAAAACCATAAATCAAATTATATTTCTTGATATAACATAAAAAAAAGCATTCAACTAGAATACGATCATTTTAATCTTTAGGAAACTATTGCTAAGTGCCCCCCCAATCCCACTGGTTTTTTTTTTGAGAAATAATAATCTATTCAAACGAGAAATCGAAACTTTCTAATTCTTTTTTTAAAAAAAAATCTACAATAAATTGTTTTCATTAATTTTAATAGTATGGCAATGGCAATAATGAAAATAAATTAACAAAACACACATCTTTCTAGATCAGTATTTATTTAATATTATGTACATATCAAGACGTAACCAAACAGCTGAAGACAAAAATGTTATAGTATTGGAACACTATAGTAATTCTCATAATAGCCAACACTGATTAAGTACTTACTAAATGCCAAGCACCCTTATTCTAGAGAATAGAATGTATCAATACTTTCCATCTTCAACTTAATCCTTAATTTAGTATAAAGTGACTTCTATTCCAATAATCCACTGAACATGCATTTGCCAAAAACACACCTACCATTACTAATTTTACCATATTTCAGAAGTTCTAAAAACTCAGTGTGTCCCAAACTCTATACATCCCCTCCTCCCCATACCTGAAACTAGCTTGTGACTCTTCTAAATTCTCTATTATTTAAAAAATAGCACCACCATACCTACCTCTGTTATCAAGCTAGATTACTTTAATTGTTTTATTTCCATACTGACTATCATCTCTGATTTGTCCTTCCCAGAACCACAGACCTAGAATTTTCTGCATAGTATACAGAAAAGATGAGATACTTTCTCTGCCACCCAATGCCATCATCTCCCACCAACCCAGAACTGAACATGGGGGCCTGTTAAAAACTAAACTGTAAAATCAAAGTAAGAACATTAAAAGTCTACTATAAACGACTGAGTGGGATAAGCTGAACAATCGCCCCACAAAAGATATCCACACCCTGATCCCTGAAACCTGAGAATGTTACCTCACATGGCAAAAAAAAAAAAAAAAAAGTCTTTTCAGATATGATTACATTAAGGATCTCGAGAGGGGAGATTATTCTGAATTATCTGGTGGGCCATAATGCAATCACATGTATCTTTATAAGAATGAGACACACTCTGAAGGCAATGAGAAGACACAGCAGAGAGGCCAGGCACAGTGGCTCACACCTGTAATCCCAGCACTTTGGGAGGCCAAGGTGGACAGATGACCTGAGGTCAGGAGTTCGAGACCAGCCTGGCCAACATGGTGAAACCCCATCTCTACTAAAAATACAAAAATCAGTTGGGCATGGTGGCACATACCTGTAGTCCCAGCTACTCAGAAGGCTGAGGCAGGAGAATCTTGCTTGAATGAAGGAGGCAGAGGTTGCAATGAGCCCAGATCATGTCACTGCAATTCAGCCTGGGCAACACAGCAAGACTCTGTCTCCAAAAAAGACGACGACGACATGGCAGAGAGAACTGAAAATGCTGCCTTTGAAGACTGGAGGGACATGGGCCACAGTCAGGAATGCCAGCACCCACTAGTATCAGGGAGAAGCAAGTAATGGATTCTCTTCTACAGCCTCCCTCCAGAAGGAACAAAGCCCTGCCATCACCTTGATTTTGGCCCAATAATACTGATTTAGAACTTCTGGCCTCTAGAACTGTGAGAGAATTAATTTCTATTGTTTTAAACCAACCAGTTTGTGGTAATTTGTTAGAGCAACCACAGGAAATTAATACATTGAAGATAGCGATAAACTGGAAGCACCTCTATATAAAAGATGTTATGAACTGAACTGTGTCTCCCCCCAAATTTCTTATATTGAACCCTCATTTCAAATATGACATTAGAGCAAGGGCCTTTCAGGAATCCAGTTAAATAAGGTAACTTATGAGGATTTTACCCAACATGACTGGTGTCATTCTTTTTTTTTTTTTTTGAGATGAAGGCTCACTGCAAACTCTGCCTCCTGGGTTCAAGCGATTCTCACGCCTCAGCCTCCCAAGTAGCTGGGACTACAGGCACATGCCACTATGCCCGGCTAGTTTTTGTATTTTTTTGTTTGTTTGTTTTAGTAGAGACAGGGTTTCACCATATTGGTCAGGCTGGTCTCGAACTCCTGACCTCAAGTGATTCACCCGCTTTGGCCTCCCAAAGTTCTGGGATTACAAGCGTGTGTCACTGCACCCGGCCCAACGGTATCATTCTAAGAGACACAAGGTATGTACACACAGAGGGCAGGCCATCTGCAAGACAGAGATGCCTCAGGAGAAACAAAACCTGCCAACACCCTAATCTTGAATTTCCAGTCTCTAAAACTGTGAGAAAATAAATTTCTGTTGCGTAAGCCACCCAGTCTGTAGTATTTTATGACAGTCCTAGCAGACCAATGCATATTTTAAAAACTATATATGGTTGCACAAACAAAATAAACATACTTAAATGCCACTGAACTGTACACTTGAAAATGGTAAATGTTGTTATGCATATTTTACCACAATAAAAAATAAAGGCATATACAAACATCACACACACACAAACTTCGACTTAAGTTGTTTAATTTTACCTTGCTTTGCTCGTACCCTCCAAAATCTGAAAAAAAAAACCTTTTAACTGCATTTGTTCCCCACAAACCTAAACCAGCACATTTGAGACACACCGTTTTTATTTTATTAATTTTTAATTGACAAATAATAGTTGTATATATTATCTATTTATGGGGTAAAATGTGATGTTTTGACATATGCTTACATAGTAGAATGATTAATTCACGCTAATTAACAAATCCATCGCTTCACATACTTATTTTTTTGTGGTAAAACGCTTAAAATCTACTCTTTCATCAATTTTAAAATATACATGCATTATTACTATATTTCATAATTCTGTGCAACAGATCACTAAAGCTTATTCCTCCTGACTAAAACTTTGTACCATTTGATCAACATCTCCTCTTGCCCCATGCACTCCCAATTCAGTCTCAGGTAAACACCATTTCACTCTCTACTTCTAAGAGTTCAACTTTTTTAGATTCTACACGCAATTTAGATTACGTGGTGTTTGTCTTTCTGTGCCTGGTTTATTTCATTTAGCATAATGTCCTCCAGGTTCATCCATGTTCTTGCAAATAACAGAATTTTTTCTATCTTAAGACTGAAAAGTATTCCATTGTGCATATATACCACATTTATCCTTTCATGCAATGATGGACACCTAGGGTGCTTCCATATTTTAGCTATTGTGAATAATGCTGTAGTGAACATGGACATGCAGATACCGTTTCAGCATACTGATTTCAATTCCTTTAGATATATAACCAGAAGCGGGACTGCTATATCATATGGTAATTCTATTTTTAATTTTCTAGAAACTGCCATATTGTTTTCCATAATGGCTGTTTATTGTGCATTCCTAGCAAGGTACACAAGGGCTCCCTTTCTCCACATCCTTGCCAACATGTGTTATCTTTTTGATAATAGCGAAGACACATATTTTTTTAAAAAAAGATTTTACAAAGAAGTATGATAGAATGTATTTTAAAATCTATACCTAAGAAATACAATTGGAATATTACTTATATAAGTGGGGGGGGGAGTACAAAAAAAGAGGATAAAACTTAAAAGCAGTTGGCACAGATGGTTTTGCTTCAAGCAGTATTCTAAGAGAACACCTGAATACTAAAATGTCAAGTATAACACATCCTCCCAAAAACCCATAACCGCAGTCTGATCATGAGAAAAATATCAGACAAATTCCAATAGAAGATCATACAGTATATCTGACCAATATTCTTCAAAACTGCTAAGAAAAAAAAAAAAAAAACCTCATAAGGTCATCAAAAACAAAGTCTTCAGAAGCTTAGGAAGAAACGACAAAATGTAACATATCTTGGAACAGAAAAAGAACACTGGGTAAAAACTAAGAAAATCTGAATAAACTATGGTCTTTAGTTAATAATAATGTGTCAATATTGGTTCATTAACTGTAACAAGTGTACTGTACTAATGTAAGACGTTAATAACAGGGAAAAATGACAGTTGGAGGGGTGGTTAGAACATGGGAACACTATACTGTCCTGCTCAAATTTTTTGTAAACCTAAAAACTTCTAAAAAAGAATGTCTATTAATTTTCAAAAATATTGTAAATATGCTGAAGAGGCGTGAACATATTTTAGAAAACTAAACACTGACAATTCAGAAAAGTCTTTATAATTAACTCTGAAAGTTCAGATACATATTAAAATTATATAAAACGCAGGTCACAAAACAAGTCTGAATAAATTTAAGAAAACTGAAATCACACCAACTATCTTCTCTAATCACAGTGAAATGAAACTAAAAGCCAATAACAGAAGAAAAACAAGAAAATCCACACATGTGGAATTTAAAAACTCACTCTTAACCAACCAATGGGGCAAAGAAATTACAAAGAAATTTTTTAAATATCCGGAGACAAAAACAACAAACCACTAATTTATGAGATGCAGCAAAAGCAGTACTAACAGGGACGTTTATGGCAGCAAAAGCTTACATGCTTAAAAAAAAAAAAAACCACAAATCAACAACCTAACTTTGTATCTCAAGAAATTAGAAAAAAGAGGAACAAACTAAACTAAACAATAGCAGAAGGGAGAAAAATAATACATATTAGGGCTGAGATCAACTAAATACAGAACTGAAGACAAGGAAAGAAAAAAACTCAGTGAAACCTAGAGTTCGTTTTTGGTTTTTATTTTTTGGTTTTTTTGTGTGTTTAAAAAAAAGATCAACAAAATCACTAAACTCTTTAGCTAGACTAAGAAAAAGACTTGAAAAATGAAAATCAGAAATGAAAGAGGGGACATTACAACTGATGCCAGAAGGATTATAACAGAATATTATGAACAAATATACATCAACAATTGAATAACCTCGAATAAACTGGT